GCGGTTCCTGGCATGGTGCTTCTAATGGGGCACCATCTCCACAGCCTCGCTGCTACTTTATTTGTCCCACGGTCCTCCAACACCAGCTGGAGCATCTCAGAGATGCATGTTCAGGACAGGCAGGATGAGGGATGCAACCGAAGGCTGGCAGCTCCAGCAAGAGCAGCACGTGGAAATGCTGCAAGATGGGGCACACCTGGTCCCTCTGCCCCCAGTTTCAAATTTATCTTTTTTTTTTTTTTTTTTGTATCTTAGGTTGCAGTAAACAGGACCACACCACCAGGCTGGACTGAGTGGAAACGCGAGGAGCTGCTAGAAGTCATGAGATGCTCCAGCCAGGCAGTGCAATGTGCAGAGAAGCCAACCCATGCCCCAGCTCCCTGGATTTCATGTTACTGATGTATTTATGTCACCTCATGCCCAGATTTACTGGGTTTATGAAGTAGGACAGTGCTTTTACTCTTGGTCACCAGGTGGGAAACTGAGGCAGTGTCCTTAGTTTAGGTTACAGCGGGGGTCTGCGGTAGAGTAGGCAACTGAGCCCACATCTTCTGAATCCATCCAAACCAGCGGGCAGCTCTCTCATGTATATGCAATTTATGTTTGACTCTCTCCCCTGGGACTCATCTCCCTTCTTCCCCCTTTAATTATAAAAATTAGTAGGTTTGAGGTATATCTGAGGGGTTTTCTTTTCCTGTGTTGACAAAGTGCAATACTTGATGACTCTAACCCCAAATTCTCTGTGACACAGATACCCTGGCAATTATAAAATACTTCCAAGCTCGCTCCATAAACCCCTTTGCTGTTGCTATTAGTATGCATTAACATTTTATTGGTGTTACAGGATGAAACATCCAGTCTTGCAGCTCCAGTGGGCTTGGGGATTTCCAGCATCCTGCAATATGTATCCGTGCAGAGGAAATTAAAATGTGGATGGATCAGCAAGATACAGTCAAATCCTCTACAGTAATTTGGAGAAGACTAAACTCTGGTGCTAGTGGAGCATATTCCAAGCTATCTAATAGAGAGCTGATGATCTCTGTAACAGCCTTTTTGTAAGTTTTATTCTTGCCTACAAGGGAATTTTTTCAAAGGGGATATGTAATACCTAAACTAATATTTTTAAAGGTATATGCTCTGAACATGGAAAAGTAAGACCTTTGCAGAGCAGTTGCTTTCAGTGATCAGATAGTACCCAATAAAAGAATACGCTCCAGTATCTTACAATCTAGCTGGAATTTCTTTCTAACCACCACACCAGTCAATTTTATATAGTTTGTAACCATTATAGGACATTATCAACTCTTAGAAACATTGGCATGCTTTGCTCCTTTAGCAATAGTACAACATATATTTCCTTTAGCAGCATTACCACTTGAAACCCAAAGTGTTGTGTCTACATGAAGGCTATAGAAGCGCAGTGCTGGTGTCCCTCATGAACTCTGCATAGATGAAGTGGTCTACAGCCACGTAACTATTCACCAGGCTGGAGTCCAGCACTGTAGACCTCACCATCTCCAAAAAAACTGTTTCCACACATAAAACTGGGAGGAATTCATGCCAAAATGGAGAATTTGGGCACCCTGACTTGTGCAGTGCAATCTGCTCAAGTTTATCTCTCCCAGGTGCCTTAGAAACAGAAGAACTGACAAGGAACTGCTCCTCTGCTTTCTCTCTTTCCTCCATTTATAGGCTCAGCAAATCCTTGAGCACATCCTTAATCTATTTTTATAAAAGGAAGTGAGTATGTGCTCAGGAGGACTTAAACACACACCTCAGGGCCCCGCAGTGCCATTCCTGCAAGACCCCACTCCTGTTTCCATGGGTTTGCACACACCAAGCATTAAGGAGCCCGAATTCTGATGAGGGATTTCAATGTTATTTATTATCTGTGTTACAGTTGCAACTGGGAACATGGGGGGTGACTCGTTCCAATTTTAGTGACAACTGTATTTACGCCCTGCGTAGAGCCAGCCGATGTAGACATTCCCAAGCCCAGGCTTTTTATAGCAAGCAGAAGCACCCACTCCACCCCCTCAAAAGCCTTTTCTAACCTCTGAAGCCTGTTCACAGCCTCGTGCTCTTCAGAACAAGCATATCTCCAAGCTGAAGATGCCCATCATGGTTTAGCCTTCGCTAAATCTCATGTGGAGGCAGCCCTTTTTCAATTTGGCTCATCCTAATTTGAAGTTTGGCACATTTTTTACAAGATCAGTCCAGGGAAAGACATGTCCGTCCCCAGGACGCTCAAGTTTGTTCCGATGTCAATGGGAAGAGTGCTCATCCACCAACAGGGAAGCAACGTTAAAGGATGAAGATCTCTCCTCTTGGCTATTAGAGCATGAAATGACCTCCAAAAGCCCCATTAAATTCTGTATCTGAGCTAGGAGAGTCCTTGTTGAAGCAGCAACGAGATTCCTGTGAGCTTCTCAACCGTGGAAGGTTCCCACCAGCACGTTGGCAGTGGAAGAGTTCAGGTTATGTTAGCAGTTATCGTTAACCACCAATTCCACCTTCTCCCACCCATTTCTGCCTCCTTCCCTTTCTGGGGAAGGAAGTCAACACAGTTGCAGGGACACACTGCGGCATCCAGGGCTCTTGTGTGGTTCAACACCAGTTCCTTGGGGTACGAAGTACATCTTTGTCCTGGAAACTACCAGCTCAGATTGTGCTGCTCAACAAATGCTGGTCCTGCAGCGGGGACTTCTTTGTTTATTTAATAGCAGAAACCCAGCACTACGTAATGGAACTGAGCCGCACACCAGGGACAAGTTAATACAGCAACAATGGCATGAAACAGTTCTATTTTTTATTCTTTTACTACTATCACCGCACGAGGCTGCTTCTCTTAACTCTTACTTCATTTATTACTGGCTGCCATGAACGATCATTTATAAAGGAGGGCTGCAAAGAAAGAGACAGGGGAAGGTTGACAGCGATTTGCGAAACGCGGCCCATGTAAAGGCAACAGCTGTTAACCAGAAACACAAACTGGCCTATGTATTGCAACCCCAAAGGATCCAGTTCGGAAAACTGAATTTAAAAAAACTGGCTTGGTCAGTGGGCTGAGCAGGAAGATGGTGAGAAACCCACACTACGTCTGCTTCCCCTTCACTGCACGTCATGTTCACCAAGGGACACGTTCAAGATGAATTCAAGTGCCTTCAAAGAAAACATCTGTGATCCAAGATGACATTTCTGCACACTATCCATCCCTCCACGCTGCTGCCACTTTTAGCAACACGCACTCACACAGTTGGTCTGCGTTGATGGAGAAGATATAACCCAGTGACAAGAAAACCAGCATTTGCTAAGCACATCTACGCTAGCTCCAACCGCTCATGAGAAGGTCCAGGTATAATTTTCTATATAAATCCAGCAAAGCTGCTGAGCTAAACTGATGCTGGAAGTCCTGAGTCAGCCCCTACAGCAGGACAGGAAAAACATCTGAAAAAAAAAGGTTCCAGTTCTCAGCCTGCCTCAGAAACAAGGCTCAAACATCCTTTGGTTATGAGAGTCTCTGATCTTCAAGAGGTATTTGCTGGCCTGGGAATAGGCTTTACACATCACCTACCTGCCAAATCCAAGCTGGGAGAGAGGGGGATGGACACAGCAAAAAAAGTTAAATAAATAAAGCAAACATACTATATGACAGAAAGACACCTAGGAAGGATACAAAGACAGACCGGATATACTTGCTTCATGCAGTTAAATAACAAGTCAATTTTGGTGCAAGCAAGAGATAACCACCGACACGGCAAGTGCCTCCACAAAGCCTCTTCCCTGTGCCAAAGGCTCCAGCCATCGGCTTCACTGGCTCTGCTCCCAAAGCCAGAGCAAACCCCAGTCCAAGAGAGACCAACACAGTCACCAGTGCAAAACACAGAGACTTTAATTAAAACCACAACGTAGGAGGAGATGGGGGAGTGCTGCTTTGGACATCGAGCAGCCCTGGGTGCTGCTACATGTGCGGACCCACCAGGGGAGGAGCAGAGCCCTGAGAACCAGTGACAGACGTTGGTGCGAGTCAGAGGAAGGCAAGCAGCTGGCTGCCACGTTAACGGGGGCACATACCAAGTGGGCTGATAAGACTCAAGAATTAGCTGCTTGAAGTCCAAAAATCCCTAGCAGGACAGATGTGCAGACTCAGGCAAGCAAGAAACACAGAGCTCTATGACAGCCTCCTCCCACCTCCTTGGCAGGTCCCAAGCCCAGGGACACCGTCCCCAGGGAGCAGTGGCTGCAGCTGCAGGGGAAGGAAGCACCTCCCCACCCTTTTTTGGGGCTGTATGTCACATTCTTGGTGTCCCTCCCATGCATGGAAGTCAACATTTCCACCCATCTTTTTGCATGGAAGCCCCATTTCTATAAGATGACCAGGAGAAATGTGTTCCCGACCCTTGGACAGCTTTGGGAAACCAGGGGCTTTAGCTTAGCCACCGCCAGCCAGATGCTGCACAGCTAGTTAAAGCATGGTGACGCTTGCCAAAAGCCACACAGCAACATGAGGGGGCACAGGTGGAGATGCCTGGGGTCTCTGCTCTAGGCACTGGCTGCTGAACTGCTCCACTGGAGATGGACTCAAGTCCCAGCAAACACACAGATCTCCAGAACCACTCCAGGACTGGATCCGTTTGGAAAGCCAAAATAAAACACATGTCCCATTTTGGAGCAAAACAAGACTTAACCCCAGTCTTCCATTTTCATTTAAAATGCAAGTTTATAGAGTTGTTTCAGGCAGGTGAGAAGATCCTTGCCCTCCACCCCCACCCAGGACCAAGCCAGGAGCAGACTGGACAGTAGCAGTGCTAGAAAGCTCTGCGGACACCTGCATTTCACTGCCTCTTAATTTACTCTTTTCTTGCTCTTCCTCCCCTGAGCACCTGCAAGAACCTTTACAAGAGGGAGCAAGTAGGTCTGGCAAAAAGAAAATCGTGGAAAAAAAATATATTCATAAACAGGCCTTTCCCTCCACACACAGCCCCACAGTAAAGCAGTGCAGCAGCAAAAGCCAAGCAGCCTGGCTGGGGGCAGCACCACCGCCCCCTCCATGGTCTGCAGAAGTACCAGAGAAAGGATCCCTGCTGCCCCGACCCCCAGCAAACACCAGCCCAGAGCCATGTGTGTCCCCCCTCCAACACCCTGCCTGGGAACCCCAAGAAGAAACATCCCCTCTCCAGCTGCGAAGCTGTGGACCACCTCGGTCAAGACCTGTGGACACCACAGCTCATCAAAAACCCAGCACCAGCCGTTTCTGCCCTCGTAGTGATGCTGCTGGTATGATCCAGACCACATCTCCATTCATTCACCTGCCTTCGAGACGCTGCTGGTGGTGGCACTGGAAGTGTGGTCCCTCTGCTCGAGGTCCAGCACAGCAACACCAGCAGGGAATGACAAAAAGAAAGAGCATTCTCCAGGTATAACCCGCTGTCCTGAGCTATTTATGCTTTTTGTTTCCAGCGCAAGTATATAAATGCATGTAAAGCTGCATGCTTGCCCGCCCATGCTGCCTTTGCTGCAGGGATGCCTCCCTAAAAGAGCAGGGGAACATGCTGCTTCGTGGGGAAATCCCTTTGCTATGGGGCTGTCACTACAATTTATGACCAAGCAGTAGCAATCACAGTCACCTTGTGCCACTGAGGCCAGCCCAGCCCCAGGGCAGCAAAGCATGGAGGAGGAAACAGGGAGTGCAGAGGGCAGGTTGGACCCAGAGATGAACGTGTGCGAACATGTGAGGTTCTGTGCCTGTTAAGAGGGAGCCTGAGCAGGCACCGCTCAAGCAGTGTCTTTGCATAGCTGTTCCCACAGAGCCGGGTCCCTCCAGGGACCTTGTCTCCAGCTCCAGAGCCAGCTCAGACCCCTGCAGCCCAGAAGGTTCCCAGCTTCACCCGAGAAGAGGCAGTAGTGGGAAAGGAAGACCCAGGGAACCTTGCAGAAAAGATGGAGGGAGGGGGCTTTCCTTGCCCAGAAAAAGGGAGAGATGGCACCCTGGGCTTCCAGCAACCCACAGACATTCCCTACAACTTCCTTTACCCATTTCAGACCTCCCCATGCAGGCAGAGGTGGCTGCCTACAGACACGTGCAGGCTCACACCTCACCCCTCACAGTGGTTTCCCAAACCAAACAGCAACAGGAAACTTAAGTGAAATTCAAAAGGGAAATTGCAGTTACCACTGCCCAACACATACACACGTGCCTTCCTCCCCTCCACATCCCCTCCCTCCCCGGAAGGGAAGCAGAGGGCCTTTGCCCCAAGGCAGCCCCTACTCAAACCCCATTCACATGCCCAGAGCCGTACACAGCAGTTGTGCTGCCCATGGTTGCAGCAGAGCGGAGAAGCACAGCCCCGGCTTGGTCACTGGCAAGACATCCCCGTGCTGGGGATGTGCAGGAGGAGCCGCTCCGGGTCCCGTCTCCCGTGCAAGGCCGGCGAGTGCTTTGGATCTGTGGTTGCCGATGAGGATGTGCAGGAATGAATGGGCTGTGTGTAACGGGCAAGGTGATGAGGAGGGGGTGAGGGGAGGAGGAAGACCGCCGCGCTACGCCTCTGCTGCCTCGACTCCTCCTGCGGCCTCCTTAGGACGTCACAGGCTGGATGGGGAGCAGGCTGCCGAACTTAAAGTGCTGGATCACAGGAAACTTCTCCAGGCACTGCAGGAGGGGAGATAAAGACGGGTGAATTCAGGAGACATTGCCACCTTACAGACACAGCCAGAGCTACATCCTGCCTCTGTGGTCAGGAGGCAGCGAGCTTGGGGCCACTCAGCTCAGCTGCAGGCAAAGGGATCAGATCCATGCCTCCTCTCCACATTCCTGCCAGGCTCCTTAGGCCAGGAACACTTCACAACCCCATTCCCCTTCCCTTCAGCCAGAGCATTTTGCTTGCTGAAATTCAGACCCGGAGCATGAACAGAAGAGGCATGTTTATGTCAGCTTTCTCTCTCACCACTTCTCCTTGCTCAAGCTGATCTCTTTGAAGAGCTTCACCCTACAAACACTTTGAGAACTGCAGAAACCCCCTGGGAAAAGACTCTCCCTCCTCAGGACAGTGCCCACACGCTGGGTTCAAGGCATCATCCTGCAGCTGCAAGGTGCTGCCCAAACTACATTCCAGATTCTCAGGTCTTTGATAGACAAAGTGATTTTGCTGCCATAGTTTAAGACGTCATCCTCTTCCCAACAACCCCTTACCCCTGAAATTCCCACCCCCCATTGCAGAGTAATGATAGAGGGAGTGTGGATCACAGATCAGTCACATATGTCCACTACAAGGAAGCTTAGCTCAGAGCTGCTTCTTCCAGCTGGGAGAGCCGGGCTGCGAAGGCACAGCCCCTTCTGCTTACCATCCTGCCAGGGCAGGAAGGTCAGTGACTGTGGTCAATAACCACGTCAAAGTTTGCCAGCGCTCGCCTGGCAGAGCCACTCAGAGCTCTGTTTTTTTGAGTCACTGCAGATTCAGACTGCCCAAAACTCACAGAGAACATAGAGAAGACTCACCTCTAGACACACAAACCTCAGCAGTACGTGTACACCAACACAGCAGCTGCATCTACACTAACATCACCCATTTTAGTTGTGAGTAGTTGTGCTAAACAAGGGCCATAGACCACCTCACTGAGCTGCAATGGGGATGCATCTACCAGGTGACTTTGGGGCATGGCTAGTGAGATGGCGGCCACCTCCTTGCTGCAGGCAGAGGGGCAAGTTCTTCCCTCCCTAGACAGCACAATATGAAGAGGAGAAAAGAAACCCAAGTGCCTTGTGTCTTGGGAGGAGAGCCTTTCCTCTGTACGCAGCTGAGGCATGGGTCTGCTCATGGGAGTCTTATTCTACAGATGCGAGGTACGTACAATGAAAGCACAGCAGCTACCAACTAACAGGACTCTGTCTAGTCCCAGCAATTCCTTGGCACAAACAGCATCTGCTCAGAGCCAGGGTGGATGGAATGCTGCACTAGGCAGGCGCTCAGTTCCCCACAAGCTGCAGACCCAGCAACAGGAGGGTGTCAAGGCCACACCAGCTCCTGCCTGCAACCAGCAACCTCCAAGGCAGATCTTGGGGACAAGATGCATGGCTCATTCCTCCAGGCAATTCTTTGAAGCACAGTTTCTTCCTACCTAAGGAAGGCAAGAGCCATGTTGTAGTTACAACTCTCCATCAGAAGGAGCCTTGTGCCCTCCATGGAGCTGAGGTGAACCTGCTGCAGCACGGGAGATCCAAGCTCTGGGGATGGGGAAGAAGTCATGTGCTGCAGACCGCTCTTCACCCCAGGGCAGGGCACAGGCAGAGGAAGGCAGCCTGCCCTTGTGCTGTCGTCATGGGCAAGCAGGAGGATTTGTGCTCAGAAGCCCAGACCTATGGTAATCCCTTTGGAGCCAGAGGTCAGACAACTGGTTCCAGCACAACTGAACTGCCTGCAAGCACACTGGAGCCAAAACAAGTTTGGAGGTGGTGAAAGCACAGCACGGCTGTATCCACTCCTGGGGAATAACAGCCATATAGAAAAACACAAGCCTTCATGGCAAGGCACCAAGAAATAAGTCCTGCGACCATCAGGGCACATCACCTTCAAAGCCTCCTAATGCTCAGAGCTCCTGCCATCTCCCAGCACAACCATTTAGGCAAACCCTCAGAGGAAACAGTGCTGGATAACAGTGACGTGAGGGAAGAACAAAGAGAAATGAATATTGGAGATGTTGACAGCTAGAAATGTCAGCCCAACTAGCTCCAAGGAGTCCCACGGAAGACCAGACTAGTTTGGGCTCCAGATGAAGAGACTTTACCACCAGTGGGAAGAATAGATATCCATTCCACTTAATACATCGTCAGCCCAAGAAGAGACAAGCAGAGAAAATTCTCCTCTATCAAGCAGGATTAGCACAAGTTTACTGGATTATTAGTGGTGCCAAAAGACAGGACCCTCTTTGCATCACTTATGGGTGAAACTGATGTAGCCAACACTAGCTCAATGGAAGGCACAGGCTTATTTTCTTCTTGCCACCATCTTAATCACAGTGAAAGTCTGCTTGGGACTACTCAACTGGGGAGTAGGTTCATGCATCAAGTCCAACCTTCAAAGATGGAACTGGGACTAGATTAGTTACAGTGGAAAGTATTTCCTGACTGACTACAGCAGAGAAGGAAAGGTCAGGAGACTCAAAAGCAGGCTCAGGGGAAAAACATCAAGGCTGCTGCTTTAACCACACTCTATTCTGTCGACTTCTTAACTCGCCTTTGATGGAGAGAATAAGAAAAGCCCTTGCACTTTCAAGCAAACACGTCTTCACCCATTGTATTTATATTATAAATAGACACATTTGAGATTTCATAAACACACAGAGCTGAAGACACATTGTCTTCAGTCTGCTGCCCATCCACAGACCCTGCAGCAAGCACCCTGGAGTGCCTGGATCCAGACTAGAGCTTCCAGCCACATGGATGCACCTGAGCTTTCTGTCAGCTGTTTGAAATCATCCTATTGAGGGGACAGAGAAGAGATAAAACATCCAGAGTGCTTTTTAAATGAACCAGGTCTAGGCACTGCCCCACTCCTACCAAGTAAGAACAGGTTGCGAGTGAGCATTTGATTTTTCCTAGGCTGCTTCCAGCAAGTGACCCCTTTGCCCTGCTGCTCCTTCCACTCAAAACCTGGTCACCACCAGCACTGCCCGGCACCAAGCACTTCTCAGCCCCCTCAGATGTGTTAAGGAGCTGGAGCCTCCATCGGAGTGTCTGATTTCACCTGATCTAATTGCAACGGGTGATCAGAGGGGCAGGGAGAAGGGAGGAGGGGAAAAAAAAAAAAAAAAAAGGAAATCTTGCTCTCAGCCAGTCAGACAAAAAGCAATACCACAACCCCAAACCTTCCCTCTCTTTACTATCACACACTCTGAGCTCTGCCACAGAAGCTGCCTGCCTTGAGCTGGACAAAGACCCATGTCAGCACTTGGGGGCTGTTGGCTCACTTATCTTCTGCTAATGTTGGCGGTGGCTAATTGGAGAAAGACTGCAACCGTGAAGGCTACACAGCTGGGTACATCAAGCAGAAACTTGCTCTGGGAGCGAGCAGCAGACAGACAAGATCTTCAGCAGTGACTCTGGATGCCTAGCCTGAAACACCCAGAAGGGTTCAGTTTTCAGAGGATGAAGCCTCAGCGACTCCTGAACATTGTCATTCCCAGAAAATCAGTCAAAGAGATCCTCTAGTTGCAAACGTTGGTAAAACCTGCACAGACAGGCACACCATAACTGAAAGCTCTGCCCAGCCACACTGCCATGTTCATGTTCCTCTCGTCTCCCAAGCCAGGCAGGAACCAGCTGAGGCAGTAGCAGGGTGGGACACTCCCCAGAGCAGATATAAAAAAACAGTGAGGACTCCTCAGCAGAAGTCCCCCCTCTCCTCTGCTCATCCCGGTGAACACGGGCACCATGCAGTGCCAGGAGAGAACATTGCTGCATGAGGATCACATGCTTAGGAATAGTCCTTTAAGATCTACAAATGTTATTTGAGGAAAAAAAAAAATTTAAAGCGCTTTGGTTGACTCAACGTTTTCTATACCTTAGTCTAAATCTGTGTCGTTACGCTTCCTAGCAGTTTTTGCATTCTCCCCTTGATACAGCTACATCTCTAGATATTTCTAGAAACCCACCAGTACTGCATCCAGCATTTCCACACAGAATGTCATCTGCTATTCAAAACGGACCAAGGCCTCCAGAAAAGACCATGTCTTGGGTGCACCTAGAAGAGCCAAAGAATCTCCCAGTCTCTAGAGGATCCCCAAGCTGTGCTGTCCCCAGCAGGCCAGGAAGATTTGCCAGCACATGGTGGCCCCAAGACATCAGTGGACATGCACATTGCACTGTGGGCACATCACTGCCAAGCTCCTCCAGCCATGTACGTGGTGCCCATGTGGGAGCAACCATACAGCACAGGGCACGCAGGACACCAGGCAGGAGCACCTGAAGAGCATGGGGCACATGGGGTGCCAAGGGAGTACCCAAACAGCATGCAAAGGAAATGGTCCAAATGAAAGGAAGGACCAAGGCAGGGCTGTTGAGGCAGCAGCAGATCAGGCTCCAGGTTTTAGGGGACCCATGTTTCACTTTAACAGCACTCCCAGGGCTGGGGTCTTTCCTGCATACCCCCCAGCTCTCACATCAGAGCCTCCAGCTCAGGGTTCCCAGCAGACAGTGTCTCCAGCCCCTGTGACCACACTGTGAGCGGGGACAGTCCCGGAGGGGCAGCCCAAGGGCACCCCTCCGAGGAGCAGCCAGTGGAGGGGGTTGACCCCCAGCCCTGCTTCTCCTCTTTGGAGGCCGGGAGGAAAGCCGAGCTGGGGGCGGAAGGAGCCAGCGGGCCTGGGAGTGACACCTCGAAGATTAGAGAGGTATGTGGCCTGGAACCTAAACACAGGATGTGCAGTGCAGAGGAAGGGCTGGGGGAGGGAGCACACTGAGTTCGGCACAGTTAACCCCTTTGTGCTCCGGGCCTGAGTAGAGCTGCCCGCTGAGCCTCTGCCATATGTCCCAGCAACAGGAGCATGGCTGATGTGAGCAGAGACCACAGGGTATAAGATTAACTCCTTCAAGCACCACCAGTCTTCCCGGGTGCAGCAGGGAGCTGCTCCATCCCTGCTCCTCCAGCGTCTTTAGCACAGCCAGTGCCTCCCTCCAGAACCAGCATGGTCCCATCCTTCCCAGCAAGAGATGCTGTCTGTCGGCCTGTCGGCCATCCCCTCCGGAGGCCCAGATGTGGTGGTTCCTGTCCTGCTTCCTCAAGCTCAGGTTTAGCCTGAGCAGGAAGGAGAGATAAGGGAGAGCCAAAACTGCCCAGTTCCCCAGGTCAGGGTTCGCCAGGAAAGCCTGCTGGGGCACAGCCAGCAGAGCCCTGGCGGATGGAGGGCTGCCAAGCCGATGAGGTAGCTGTGGCCTCACTGGTCCCGCACACTGCACATGGACTCGTAGTGAGAGGAGATCGGTAGGAAGCATTCAGCCTGCTCTAGGGCTCTTGAAACATGGGATGATAATTTAAACTAAGTCTCCTCCAGCTGGTAAATAGCAGTGCGGGGACCAGAAGGACAAGCAGGTCAAGACATCGGCCCTAATTCAGGGACTTGCAACTTACACTATGGGAAGACAAGAAATGGCAAAAGTCATGTCTGCAAGGAATGGCCATTTTGGGACTGTTTTGGGGGCAAACACTAGGCAGGCTGGAGCCTCCTTCTAGCCAGCAGCACCTAAACTGCCAAGGGCTCCCAAGCCACATTCAGCACAGGGTAGCAACTGGCTGTGATGGGGCCCCCACACCAAGGAGCAGCAGAAGAGAAGAGCTGACCCACAGTGAAGTGGAAGGGAGGAGGCATGTGGCCAAGCAGCCTCCCCCTGCCCACAGTGCTCACCTCTGCCTTGTACATGCGGATGAGGCCCTGGTTGACCTTGGACCAGGAGGGCACAGCGCTGATATTCCAGAGCTGGTTGGAGTGCTCAGCAAAGGGGCCCGTCTTCATCTGAAAGAGACCCGAGAGCAGGGCTGAGGGAGCCAGGCCAGCCAGGAAGCTCATGCACCAGCAGTGACTCACGCTCACACTCTCTCCAAGCAAACATTCCCACCAAGCCCTGTGACCCACGCACCAGCCACCTCACTGCGCCTTCCTTCCCTCCCTCCCCGCTCCCTCCCGCTGTGGCCACATCACATGAAGCTGTGGCAATCCAGCTCCCCCCCTTCCCTGATAAAATTAAGCCTTTTCCTGCCACGCTTTCCTAATCAGGCCTCCCTCTGCACACCTACCTTTTAACGACTGCATTAAAAAAGCCCCATGTCTCATTCTCCCCCCCAGTAGAACTCGGCTCAACGTTGTTCCTATTCTACCCAGAAACCTCCCAGTGCAGCACTGCTGGGCTTTCCAAGAAAATGACTCATTCCCCATTCAGATCAACAACAAGCAGCAGCGACAACCGCCACTGCCTTCCCTGAATACAGAGGGCAGCGCAGGTTGGCAGCAGCTCCGGTGTCCGCAGCCCACTCCACACCTGCCTCTAGCAGAGGGCTCTGGGGGGAGGCAGGAGCAGAGGGGACACGCTCCAGTCCTGCTCTCCAAACTGGCTCCAGAACTGTGAGTTGCTAGCTTGCAGCAGATGCTTTACTTTTTTTTTTTTTTTTTTTTTTAAATATTCCTGGGTTTCTCCTCCCAGGGCGAGGGGTTTGGAGGAGAGAGGGCAGGCAATCAGGGACAGTTGCATGTAGATTCCCTGGGTAGTTGTCTCTCCTTCTCCTCCACGAACAAAAAACAGACCCTCAGGGAGAAAAAGAAATACAACGCAGCCACTCTGACTGAGTGAAGTTCCCATGACATCAGAAACCACAAGGCCGAAGCTCACGCTAAAAAGGAGCGTGGGGAGAGAGGAATCTCTTGGACTCTCGTTCTCAACTCAGGGCTCGAACAACTAACCCCTTCCCTCCATGCACGCACAGGCCTGGAGTGAGGGTGGGAAAAGAGCCTCCAAAACCACCTCTGCCTACTGTAAAAGCAAGCAAGGCTGATCAATCTGCTCTGGGAGATTGCTTGCTGCCTTTCTGCAAGGTCTGCGTAGCACCAGCCTGCAGCAGTGAAAGAAAGAGGGAAGGGAGCAGAGGAACCCCAAAAAGACCACTGCTTAGAGGACAATGTGTTTCAAACCCGCTGACCTCGGGGCTGGAGCACCGGGGGACGCAGGTCTGTAGTTTTGCCTGCTGCCGGGAGAGCGCAGACGCATCCCTGCTTCCCCTAGGCAGTTCTCGTGAGCTGGGGGATGACGGATGAGCCGCTCAGCCGTTCCCGCTCCCCTCTGCTGTGCGCGCTTTCCTTGCAGATACAAGATGAAACGTGCAGATACACAAAGCACGACGCTACCCGACAGAGCCGGCGCGTTAAGTGCAAGGATTTGGCACCAGTGGGCACCCAAGTTAAAGACTGCCGGGGAGCTCAGTGCCAGGCAGTTCGCTCAACGCATCCCCCCTCCCCATACAGGAGATTTGGCTGCATGCATTTTGACATCAAACCTTCCTCCAGCATCACCACCCTTTTCAGCGGCACAGCTTGCATCAGCCACCACCACCACGCTTTGCTTCTCCCCCCTTCCAAAGCCGGAGCGAGTGTGCTGGAGAGCGCAGAGAAGGCAAGTGTGGCTGGCTGGCCCCATGCTCATGCCTGGAGCCGTGCAAGCACCTGGCACGGCCACCACCATGGCCCTTTTCACGCAGAGCATCCGGCAACGACAGCTTGGCTACAGTTTCAAACTGGGGAGGGAAAAATAAGGGGGATGAGGGGGAACAAAAAAAAAAATCATCTCCTTCCAGCCACAAAGGGCGAAGAGGGAGAGCCGGGGGGGAGAGCGAGAGGCGGCGAGCGCGCTGCAGTCCCGCAGTGACCCCAGGGGAACAGAGTGAGTCAGAGCAGCCATATTGAGCAGGAAATTACTCACAGACGCGGCGTTCCTGCCTCTCGGTTCCCAAGAGAATCGGCCTTTTGTAAATGGTTCCTCTGTCAGTGCCGGGGGGAGGGGGACGGCTGAGGCCGTGCTTTCCTGTCAGCTCCTTCCCTTCCAGCAGAAACCCGAGCCCTCCCTTCCCAAACCTCCAAATTTAGAAGCCAGATTGAAGCTGAAATTCCTGCTGCCTGCCCTGGGCCCTCAGAGGAGCATCTGGGCAATTGCACTGATCCACTGCAACAGCCGGAGCATACCCAGCACCCCTTTTCTGCACAAACACACAGAGCCCTGCCATCACTGCCATCCACAGTCTCTAGTGCAGTGGGTACCGCAGAGATGCTCCCAAATCCTCCTCATCCTTGCACCTATGGGTACCACACGCACCCTGCAGCACACTTTGGCTGGCAAGGCAGCAGCAGGGGGATAGCTCGAGTCCCAGGTGGCTCCGTAAATCTCACCCTATTCAAGAACCACATGTTCAGGTCCAAAACCACCCCACAGATTTCCCTACAGCAGGCCAGCTTATGCAAGGCTCGCTGCCATGCCTGTGAGCCGTGCAGGGTGGTGCTGCTGTAAGGAGTATACCTTGGTGGGTTCAGCCCGGACATCATCTCACTGCTACTTTAAGAGCCTGAGGTTTAAATATACACGTGGCAAACGCCACGACAGTGTATATTCATATCCCTGAAACGTCACCCAGGGGCTGAGAAAAATATCTGCTCATGAGAATATTCTCTTTGTTGAAGGAAAACAACCTACCTCAGTTGTAACTTGCTGAAACAAAACCTGCTCTCATGTCGGTAAGATGTACCAGACCTGCTACGGGAACTGTTGTGGTGCTTAACACCTTTAAAGGAGAGCTGTTTCCAGCTGACAAGCTCCAAAGAAAATAATATCGTTCATTTCTTAAAGTGTTTAATCCTTTCTATCTTTTTCCCTGCTATTTTGTTTTGTTGTTGATTTTGGAGAGAAAGCGTTTGGAGGGCACTCGAGGCTGTCTCAGCCCCCCCTAGTGGCAGTAACAGCCTTCCCAGGCATTTGGGAGAGAAAAAACAAATTTTAAAAGCAAAATCTTTACAAAAAAGAAAGAGCGCCTGCATGAAGATGGATTGAAAATACCATGCATTTGATAATCCAGGTTGTTGCCATCCCTTAGCGGCTCACGCCAGGAGGGCCCGAGAGGAGGGCTCCTTGCCACCAGGTGGCACTGAGGAACTCAGCAGAAACACCGAATTCCACGATTCTCAACAAATGTGCGGAAAAAGAAGTGAAATCACTGATTTTAAAAGCCTACTAAATAACTAACTTTCTGCAGGCAAAAGCAGAGTGACCTGAAGCAGTAGTATGGTGCTGTGTATTTGAAACTTTATGTGTCATCTGTGCACTGCAGAATTTTCTACACACATCAAGAGATGTATGTTTTTATGTTCTTAATAGGTTAGTGCACTGTCTGGATACTACAGAGGCCCAAATTAAAGTAAATCTTAGAGCATCCTTGGCTCCTGCCTTCCTGTCCTCATTTTGATCTCTTCTGCCAGCACCTCTTTACTACCTGTGGCATGATTTATCTCTGCATTAAGGGTTAAACCCTGTGAGGTGCTAAGTACCAACAAACACTACTAGATTCAGCAGGACTTGACACAGCACCTCCCCGGGGTTTGGACCAAAAGCTCTTATGAAGATTCCTACACAAAAGGCTAAATTCATATTCTGTAACTTCCATTCTCATCTAGTCACTAAATTAGAGAGGCGAGGAGGGGGGAAAAGTGAACAGAACAAAGGGGAAGCACCGAACTCTGTCCTTCAAAATTAATCCCATCAGTTCTCTCTTGCCAGAGACAAGAAATCCCTCACCACAACAGAGCATGTGGTTCTTGCTCTCCCTGCCCAGACCGTGCAGCAAGGGGGACAGTAGAAACATGGCCATATCATCCACTGCAGCTGAGGGCAGAAAGCCATGAGCTCTTTCATTGAGAAACACTGCCCGTGGTTGGCACCAAGCTGAATATCACCAGTTCCTCACCCAAGGGCTCTACAATGCCTGAGCAGAAACATGGTCCCAATAGCATTGCCAGCTGGGTAAATCTCAGCACCATCTCTGCTCTAGATTGTTTTCAAATAAGGTGCATTTAATGGGCAACTCTTTTGGTAGACTCTGGAGGAGACCAAGCTGCATGGAGGCTTAGAAGCCTGCCCTAAGCAAGGGAGGCCCAGCGCCTGCCAGGCAGCACCCAACGGCTGGAGGGAAGGGAGGTTATCTTGGCAAGCCCAGTCGTTTTGCAGCTCCTACTTCATCTTCCTTGCATACTTGCAGACACCAGCCTTCTCCATCCAAGTTCCCACTGACTGATCCAAATGATGATCCAAGATTATTTGTTTGCTCTTGTTACAACTCCCTTCAGCTGCAATCCACAACCCATCTAGCTTAATTACACTTTCTGCTCAGCATCCCTGTTCTCTGAATTCAAGGAGAGCACCTCAACCATGCAACAATGGTTCATACACACAGTTCCATGAGAGCAAACAAGCAAAGGAGGAAGAGAAAACCACAGCCAGAGCCAAGTATCTAATATCAAGAGAACTTCCCTGTGGGACAAACCTTCCAGTCCTCACCTCTGTAATGAAAAGGATGCACTCCAGGAACATGAAGTCCTTATGGTTTTCATTTACCACCTTCTCATCAACAAAGTGCCGAGGCTCCAGATTTGGATGGTCTAAAAAGAGTGAGAGACAATAGAAAGTAACCTGTATGGCACCCCCCTTCTGAGATCAAGTTCAATCAGGTCTTGTCCTGCCCCTCTTCCAGAAGAAACACGATCCTCCCATTGGAGTTCTTCAGAAGTCAGCATAGAGCTGCTCCCTTTCATCTCATCTCCCACTCCAGTGCCTCAGCCGTGAGAGCACCTGGTAAACTCCCCAGGGCAGAAAACGTGCTTTCTAGCACCAAAAACAAGACTCTCCATTTAAAAAGCTTGTAGTCATTGCAATAAACACAGATGTACTGTGCAAGGAAGCCTTCCATCTCTCAACCTAAGCAACTAGCTTTATTTGGAAAGCTGAGAAAAAAAAAAATCCAAGCCCCAAGCAAACTCTTCTACTGTATTACACACAAATCTGATATATTTGAATTTAAAAGTCAGTCCCAAGCCCCATCATCTTTGCAACCTAGACAGACAAGGCAGGGGACAGGCTGGGACACAAGAAGATTTTTATTAGTACCTATCAGCTGGGAACTGCCCCATATGAAAGGTAGAAATTGGAAGTCATCCAAGCCCCACACGCCCTGGCTGCCAGCAGGTTCCATCCTGTAGGTCTTCTGAAGTTTTCGCATCACTTCTAGGTACCTGACACCAAAGAGAGAAGGAAGGGTTAAGACAAGGCCGCCTTCCGTTTTCATTGACTTACATGAGGACAAGAACAACCAGTCTGGAGAAGGACACAACTTTATCACTTGCAAGCAGGACCCCCACATACAGCACAGTACACAGAATATATATTCAGCTCCTTTGCCACAGAAAGCAGCCTGATGGTATGTATAGTAGCAAATACAAGCACCTTTTAAAAATTGGGGTGTTTTTTACACCAAATTCACTAAGAAATCAAGTGGCAGGGGTTTATTTTATCTGCAGTGTCTTATGTTGGTGCAGATCTTTCCCCAACCCCACCGTTATCTGAAAACATTGACACTTTGCTCTCCTTCAACAACTTCCAAAAGAGCTCAGAAAGCTTTCCACCTTACAGCAACTGCTGCTTCCACTTTTCAGGTGGAAAATTAAAGCTGGAAGTACTATTGAAGGAAATTGTTTCCACACCACCAAACAGTGATACAGCTGGGATTACATCTCTGGACTCCAAACACCCATTCCACCAGTTCTATCACTACCAACTCTACCTCTTGGGCTGGAAACACATCTAGAACAGCAGTGGAGGCCTGCCAGTTTCATAGATGGTTTTGCGTTTTTTCTTTTTTAATGCCTGAAGAGATGTTAGATCCTCTGATCAGATACTCCTGTCTATTACAAAGCACATAGCTTCACCCACATACCTCTGCAGAGCTCAGTAACTTGTGCTCAGCTAAGGTAACTTTCCAGAAAGACACTCAGCCTCTAACAGACAAGGTGCTATCACCTCTTTTGGAGACAGTTATGATGGGTCACCATACAGTCCATTAAAAAGTACATCTGCCTCCTAATTTTGCCTAAGTTTGTCTTCAGTTTTCCCATTCTGCCCTTTTTCCCTAGGCCAGCAAGCCATTCAGCACTCACGTTCTCTAATTATGTACACGTCTTTGTAGAAGACCCTTGATTTGCCCAGCTCACACCCCAGGAGACTGCTCTTAAAATTTCTTACTCTCACATGGGTGCAGATGAGTGGAAGAAAGGGGGCACAATAAGCCCAGACTACAGGAGGAGTCTGGCATACAGAACAGGCAATAACACCTCACACATCTCAGACAGCTGAAAGGGGACAGACACTGTCAGGGACCTGCCCCCAAACAGCCCAGTGGTTCCAGCCTTTCTCCTTCCATTACCTCACCTGTTAAATACTTTAAAGACGATGGCCATCTGGTCATCCACTCTGAGCACACCGATTTTGCAGAGGCAGCAGAGAAAGGCTGCAAATGCAGCTTCGTGCCCTAGAGTTAAAAGACATAAAGAGGCATGACACTGGTGTCTCTAGTCCCCAGGACAACCTTTCTGTGGACACACAACAGCTCTTCAGAAATCACAGCAGTCACAGTCCCATCTCAAGAGCCCCAACCCTATTACCCCTATTTAACGCCATGAGCTGACAATATTTCATCCCCATGCAGCACCCACCCAAAGTATATCTTCTAGACATTCATAAGGTGATTATTAACTTTGAGAAAAGACAACTTTTTGAGGAAAAACAGCTCCAACACTGGGCATGCTGGGAGCAAGGCAGGGCCTTCCCCAGGAGCTTGGCACAGCAGGGGAAGTGGAGCACCACAGAGTCATCTGCTTGGGGGATGCGAGAGAACCTCACATCTGCAAGTAAACAGATTTCCTCCCGCTTCAAAAATATCTCCGTGTTGGAAGGATGCAGATCCCATGACGCTGCCAGAAACAGTCTGTCCCAGAAGGTACTGGGATCTCAAGCTGAGCCTCTGCAGCTTGGTCCTCCAGCTAATATCAAGGAAAAGAAATAACCAGCAAACCCAGAAATGTCTTTTAGTGGAAAGGACCACAGAAGAAGGCAGAGTACAAAATCAGCAGCTCCACGCTATGAAGAAGCGCAGCTCCCAGTGTAGGAACAAAGTGCATGTATGGACTAGCCACTGTGAGCTAGGACATAGGCCTCTGGCTTGGGACACACAGGAGGGGAGGAAAGGCTGAATTTCCTTCCCTGAGCTGACAAAACCCCAGCCAGTGGGTCTCTTTCCAAAGACAACATCTCCCCCTGGTGCCGGCGAGCCGCAGCTTTCCTGGCAAGCACTGCACAGCCTCCAGCTCTTCATCCTTTTACCCACGTCCTCCTCTTCCTCTCCTTGCCCAGGTCCAAAGACACATTTCCTTGCACCCACAGCGTCCTGCTCTCCTGCCTTTTGGTGAGGGAACACCTGTCCTCCAGACAGAGGAGCAGAGCATGTAGATGATTCTGGATTTAGGTCTAATTGAAGCCAGTGTGGTTACTTGAACCTGCAATTCAGTACCTCCTTAGGTGCAAAACGCTTCTACCTTCAGATTTCAAAGTCACTCTGTAAGCAGTGATGTCACTTCTAGGGAGCACCAGACCTCAAGACACCTCCCGCTGGACACGAACTTGGTTCCCACTCCAATTCCAATTCAAGCAATTGTATTTTATCCCTCTAAACTGCCTATAGCAGATCAGCAGGTACAAGACTGCTGTATGCAGTAAAGCAGCTCCTACAGCTTATTCCAGAACAGCTTGCACAGCTCGGTTCACAGTTCCTGGGATGACACATGAAAACGGTGTCATAGCTCTAGCACAGCCCTGCTCCCAGCCCCAGCTCTCTCAGTCATAGCCCACACAGGACATAGGGGTGAGGAGGCCCTAGAAGGAAGGCGTTTTTTTCAAGCTGGCACTAAAAATAGTGGCAATAACATATTTAAATAAATGCAACACCAGGCTCCAAAGGGTCACTACCACAGGGAGTCCAGCCTTGGCCAGCATGCATGCCCAGCTACCTGTGCCATAGTCAATGCGGGTGGAGTTCCCCACGGACTCCTTCAGGTACACGGCCACTTCTGGTGCAGCATCAGCCAAATGCTTGGGAATCACTGTTGCGACCAACTTTTCTGCTTCCTGAAAGACACAAAAGACTCCCTCAAGTGAATGCAGATCTGTCACAGTCCCCAGGAACAGGTCACCCTCTGCTCAGACACTGTTACAGAGTGGGAGCTGCAATGGTGCACTCCTACAATGGCCAGACCCAGCATGACAGAGGAGCAAATTCTCCTGTTGAAGAAGTCATCTCCAGAGGTGGAGCAATCCAGGGAGAGCTTGTCCTAACACTTATCCAGGCCACACGCATCCTGCAGGAAAAAAAAGCTTCACCATCCAAGTACATCAACGCAGTTACCCACCGAGTCACCTCCAGGACAAAAGCATTAACAGAGCAGACCACCTGCAAGCTCATTGCTGCTGGGACTGTGCCTGCACCACCTCCAGAGCTCAGTGCAGGGCAAGTGCTCTGAGCTGAAGGAAGTCAGTTTCACAACCTTCCTGATTTTCTGTATCACCCATCAGCTAGAAGACACAGTGGGGAGTTACAGAGCACAGGAGTTCCTTGGGCTTGGAGGGCCCTCATGGCTCATCCAGGACTTGGGAGACCCAGCCAAGAGCATTTACATGGACCATATGCTCTCATAAGAGGAGAAGACAGCACCAGATCAGGGGTAGAGTGATGCATATCAAGAGGTGGATCCTTCACAGCTTATCTGATCAATTCCTCTGTAGGCTGTTCAGCTGCCACACAATGACAGAGCCATTCTGCTACACCCGCTGGGCACACTGCCCTTCTGTAGGAGCTGTGTGTAACACTACATGTGAAAGACATGCTCACCTGGTCTAGTTTGGCATACCAGGTCCTGAAGGCTTTGTTCCCAAAGCGAGAAGGTTGATCCACTGGCGGGGTTTCATCAATCCATCTGTCAAGGGTGTTCAGAAGAGCCACCAGCTTTTCAATGGGCTACAAAGAAAATGAGGGGTCACGGTGACATAAAACAGAGCAGTCCCTCAGGCTCCGACATCTCTGCCCTGGATTGGAGTCATTAAAGCCAACACCATCCTTCCCAAGGGCGGCAAGCAGAAACACAATGTGGCAACCCTCCCCGAAATGCAGAGGGGCCGCAAAAGCCATCCTTCCCCTCAGAAGATCAGTCCAGTACAAAGCCCAGCCCGAGGCAGGCTCTCCAGTCGCCCAGACAGTCTTTCATGAGCTGTAACAGCACTATGCTCTAAACCCTCTGGAAGAAGAGCTACAGCAAGCTGTAGGGCATAGAGGACTGAGAAGCAAGAAAGTGCTACACAATTCAGGGATCTCCAACACAAAACTCAGGCTCTGCATCTTGAGGGTCCTGTGTCCCCCGACAGGACACAGCACAGCACTTACTGTATATCCTCACCAGTGGCTGATGATGTGATTTAGAGGCCCTTCTCAAGGCCTCTAATCTTTGTCCTGAAGTGTCTCTTAGGAGCCAGGATTAGCAGTGATAGTGTTAGCATTTGTACAGCACCCAGCGCAGCAGGGCCAAATCACAAGTCAACCTTCTCAGCGTGATTTGTGTTGCTTCAAACTCATACCAGCCAGACTGCCACAGCAGCTCCAACCCAGGGATAGCCACTGCACGTGGCTATCTAGGTGTATTGGGTTTGCGTGGCAAGGTTTTGGTAGCCGGGGGGGGTTACAGGGGTGGCTTCTGTGAGAAGCTGCCAGAAGCTTCCCCTATGTCTGACAGAGCCAATGCCAGCCAGCTCCAAGATGGACCCACTGCTGGCCAAGGCTGAGTCCATCAGCGACGGGGGTAGTGTCTCTGTGATAACATATTTAAGAAGGGAAAAAAGTTGCTCTGGCACAGAAACTGCAGCCAGAGAGAGGAGTGAGAACATGTAGGAGAGACAACCCTGCAGACCCCCAGGTCAGTGAAGAAGGAGGGGGAGGAGGTGCTCCAGGTGCTGGAGCAGAGATTCCCCTGCAGCCCGTGGGGAAGACCATGGTGAGGCAGGCTGTCCCCCTGCAGCCCATGGAGGTCCACAGTGGAGCAGATCTCCACCTGCAGCCCCAGGAGGACCCCATGCCAGAGCAGGTGGATGTCCAAAGGAGGCTGTGACCCCATGGGAAGCCCACGCTGGAGCAGGCTCCTGGCAGGACCTGTGGCCCCATGGAGAGAGGAGCCCATGGAGCAGGTTTGCTGGCAGGACTTGTGACCCCGTGGGGGACCCACGCTGGAGCAGTGCGCTCCTGAAGGACTGCACTCTGTGGAAGGGACCCATGCTGGAGCAGTTTGTGAAGAAGTGCAGCCTGTGGAAAGGACTCACATTGGAGAAGTTCATGGAGAACTGTCTCCTGTGGGAGGGACCCCACACTGGAGCAGGGGAGGAGCGAGGAGTCCTCCCCCTGAGGAGGAAGGAGCGGCAGAGACAACATGTGATGAACTGACCGTAACCCCCATTCCCCATCCCCATGCGCCGCTGAGGGGGGGTAGGTATTCGGGAGTGAAGCTGTGCCCGGGAAGAAGGGAGGGGTGGGGGGAAGGTGTTTTAAGATTTGGGTTTATTTCTCATTACCCTACTCTGGTTTGATTGGCAATAAATTAAGTTAATTTTCCCCAAGCCAAGTCTGTTTTACCTGTGACGGTAATTGGTTGAGTGATCTCTCCCTGTCCTTATCTCGACCCACAAGCCTTTTGTTATATTTTCTCTTCCCTGTCTAGCTGAGGCAGAGAGTGATAGAGCAGCTGCGTGATTGCTGGCTGGGGTTAAACCACAACACTGGGGGAAGAGGTAGGCTGGTTTGCCCACCAGTGGCCTCATCAGAGCAAGCATGAGAAGCTGTCAGTTCTCACAGAAATGTCTCAATACAGACACAAAGCTGATGGGAAGACAACAGCAACAGCAAGACAACAGAGCCATCTTTCTTATACCTAGTGCTGGAAGGAGAAAATGAGGAACCTGCGCAGGAGGTGGCACTGCTGTGGCCATGAAGGAAAAGAAGGCAGGTGCAACAGGCGATACAGCATGATGTCTCAAGCTGTACTGTTAGGACCAGGGCTGTCCAATGCATGCAACCTCCTCCATGCCTTGCTCATACAGCTGGGGAACGGCTACACCCCACGCACCAAGAGGCAACACCATAGGCAGCACTTTAAGCAGCTCCAGTTTTAGGAGGCTCTGCCGACAACTGGTCAAGCCTGCCAGAGGCTCTGGAATCCTCCTCGCCTGACTCCAACCAGCCAGAGAGCCATCAGCCGCCACAGCAGCTGGCCAGGCCCCGGGCAATGTAGGCTCCTCTGTCTCGAGAGGGGATTCCTCCTTCAAGGGGACAAAGAGGACAGCAGAAGCAGCGGCTGGTTTGACTTTGCTGGAGGCATCGACCATGTGAAGCTGGCTGGTCTCCTGGGCTGTGGTTCAATTCTTCACGCTGCCTGCCGGGAGGACAAGAAAACAGCCGAGCCCAGCAAGTTTCCAGCCCTTGAAGTGCCACTCGAAGAGGGCGGGTGGAGAGACAGGCATGGCAGAGCTGTGCTGCCGCTGAACCAGCTGCACATCACTCCCGATGCTCTCCACTCCCAGAAGGAAGGGTCTCATGGCAGATACAGCCTTCTACAGACAGCAGCTCCCAAGGTATCATGCCGAGGACATGGTGGGATCAGCCACTGGGAAGCAGGATCGGGCAGAGGAGTATCCACCCACCCCACAGGACCTTGAGACTTGGCCAGTGAGCCAGGCTAGAGGCTGGGATAGACGACAAGACCTGAGCGCACCAGGAACACAAGACCCGAGTGCCAAGGGACACGGGGGGTTCAGAAGCTCTGGGTGCCCTGGTGAGGCTGCAAGCTGGAGCCGCTAACGGACAAGTGCCCCAGATTCAAGTGGACTGAGGCAGCATGACACACTCTGCCTTCAGCTCCCCGCTGCCCAAAATGCTGCAGAAACCTGGCATCTCCCCACTGCACTGGGCCAGATTTGGACTCAGCTCTACTCCTTCCTGGCTACTGCATTCCCCTCCAATTAAGCAACAGCGTCCCCAGCACTGGGTTGCGTTAAATAATTAAATCGTGCTGGTGATTTATCCGCCGGCACCAGCAGCTCATTATGAGCAGCCACTGTATTTCAAACCCCTCTCAGCAAGCACTCAGTGCTGCATGGATAAATGGCTGGCAAGGACTGGCTCCTTCCCCCTCCCCAGATCTGCCTGCAGGCCTTGGGGAGCACGAGAGTCAAATCTCCCCTTCCCCACTCACTTGCTTTAAAGGGATTAAAAAGCCTAGCCCCACTGAACACGGGAGAGCAGGACCCAGCTGCCAGCTCAGCCATGCCAGTAAATAATTGAAGAGATGCGGCTCGTTTTGGGCTCAAGGCCCTTTGAAAAGGGGGTTACTAGGAAGCAGCTTCCCATTGTCCAGCAGAGGAAACTCGTGCATCCAGGGCTGACCCCAGTGGGGGAGAAGGAGGGGAAGAGCAGAGCTTACGGGAACACAACCATCAGCACCACTGCAGCCTTGTTTTGCTTGGCTGCGTTTTTCAGCTCTATTTTTGCTTTACCTTTCCAGTGATCAAAGCAAGGGCAGCCTCCCCCCTGCTCTCCTTGCTCTTCTCATTGTGCTGATTTTGCATCCCCTTGACCCTGAGTCTGCCATCGGTCCCAAAGGCAAACCACAGAGCCTCCTGCAGAGCAGAGACCTGTCAGCATCTCTCAAGAGCAGGGGCCAGGCAGACGGAGGTGCTGAGAAGGCATCACAGCAGCCAGAGCTGCCCACGGGGACCAAGACTGTCCCTCTGGGCTCCTTAGGCCTTGTCAGAGGGGGGACCTGCTAAAATCAGGGCATTTGCTTCTTCCCCCACTTCCCTCCTGGAACCAGAGCAAGTCACAAGGCCAGCCAATTTCCCCCAGCGCAGCAAACTGTTTGAAGGGAAGGACTGCTCCTTGCATAGCCAAAATTAACCTCCTCCTTGCTGCACTGCTCCTCTGATCAAAGTCACAGCTTTGAAAAACTGCTCCAGGCTGCAGCCCCAGCAGTTGCTGCATGGATCCCCACGTGAAAAGCACTCCTTCCAGGAGGAGAAGGCAGGTCACAGCCTATCAGTCATACAACATAGTGCCAGACATAGTGTCTACACCAGAGCCCTAAACAACAGCTCAGCTATCACTACATGTCAGATGCCTCCAGCAAAACCCCAGACAGCTCCATGCAATTTTTCAGTAAGAGCAGAGCAAGCTCAGCAAGTCTCAGAAGGGGTTCAGCCCCCAAAGGATCCAGCTCTCGCTCCGGCAGACAGTTTGGTATCGACACATGCTACTCTGGAAACCATTAAGCTGTCTCTTTCAAAGCAGAGTAGACCATACTTTCTTTTTTTTCCCGCAGCAAAGCAATACCAGTAAGTTGTAGAGAGGATATGTATTCAGCAGAAAGGATTCCAGGAGGTCATTTGCCAAAGGAAGGCGTCCCCAGCATTTGATCAGGGAAGAAGATGGGATGGCACAAAAGCATATCAGCAGCAGGTACGGCAAAAGAGAAGAAAGCAGAGCAGAGATGCAAGCAGAGGCCACAAGGGGCTGAGCCTTTAAAAGCACAGATAAGCAGTTTGATCTACAAATGAACTCGCGTGAACAGGCAACCTCATCAACAAGGCAACCCTGGGGATGCTCCACCTGTGCCTCAAGTCACAAGCTTCTGCTCTCCTCAGTGCAAGGGGAACGAGGCAAGTTCCCTGCTACTTCCCCAAGCAGTCGGGATCGTGTCTCTTGTTTGTCACCTGGACTGGGACCATGGATGGAAAATATTCACTCCAAGAGGCATCTGCTGCACAGACGCAGCCCTCATACAGCTTTTCCTAGATAGCTGACAGCTCAAAGTGGGTGGCAGAAGAGGGTTTCTCCCCTCCCCTTTGTTTTGCTCATTTTTAATGCTTTGTTTTCCTACAACTGCTCTGTGAATGACTGGGAATGAGCGAGATCATGACAGAGACAAAACTCAAAAGTGAAATGCAAACAGTGGAAAGCAAGAGCAGCATTTGACAGCAGTTTCTACTGAACTGAAGGAACAAAAGGTGGACACAAAGCCTGTTAGGGAGGGACTCATTATCCCTGATGCCCCCCATGAACTACAAGCAAGTTTCTCATTCACACACTGGCTCCTAGAAGGGAAGGCTGGCCTTAACATGCCTGCTTCAAACATAAATGACTAGGTTAAAGATCATTGTAGGCTGCCTTCCCATCCCAGAATCAAGCTGTAAACACAGACCCTGCTTCCCATTCTGCCTAGATCTTTTTAGGCTATTCCCAGCTTTCTTGGACAGCCGTGATAAGTTTGAACAGTAAAAACATAGCCAAGAATCTCCCCATTGCAATGCACAACAAGGGAGGGGGATCCAGCATGCGACACAGAAGCTAAGCTAGTGGCCAACATAAGCTCTGCAGATCACGGCAGCACCTGGAGAGACCTCAGGCCAACACTGAGCATGGCTGAGGCCAGGCAGTAACACCAGTGAGGATGCCTGCCCTTCCCCTCTGGCTCCAGACAATCTCACCATGCCCTGATAAAGTGAATAGGCATTAAAACTGGCCACAGCAGCAGACAGAACCGGGTGACAGTCACATTAATGCAAGGGGAAAAATAGATCCTTTCTGCTTAACACCTCAGAAGGGGTGATCCTGGCCCGCAGGCTAAACCTACCTCCCCAGCCCTCCTGCATGCTCCGTAGCCCTCAGCACAACCCTTGGTGAGGCAGGTCCACTTAATGACATGCCTTGAGCTCACATGCTGTCAAACCAGACCTCGCACAGCTCAGCTACAGTGTGGACCGAGGAGATCGGTGCTGTTAACACAGTCTGAGCAACAAGGAAGCCTAGGAACAGGGAGACAAGTGGCTTGCCCAAGGTCCTACAGAAAAGCCAGTGGGAGAACAAGAATGGTACAGACATCTCAGCCTTTTGCCTGCAACCAGGAGGGAACACCACATCTTCAAAACATCGCTGGTTGAAGCCAGACTGTGAAAACAGGGTCAAAACGTCCTTTCTGCATCCTCCTTGTCACTACCAGCTTCTCTCTACTTGTAACTTGCTTGATTTCCCATCCAGCAAGCACACACAGAGCCTCTGCATCCTGGGGCGAGGATTGCAGGCTGACATTTGCATCCCCAAGCATAACCCAACCACATTTATTCTCCCTGGCTCACAGATAAGCTGCCAACTCGTTCCTCGCCTAGGAAATATTCACTGTAGAGCCAAAAAAAAAAAAAAAAAAAAAAAAAAAAAACAAAAAAAAAAAAAAAAAAAAAAAAAAGAAACCAAAAGAAAAGAAAAGAAAAAGGCAGAAAAGGAGAAACAAGGGGATCCAAACTCTTCTCCTACCTCTGAAACTTTGTATTCACAGGTCAGCTTCTTGCCCCTGACACCTTCATTCAGAGTGAGGATGAAGCCCATGTAATCTGCATATGCCTGCAAACATACCCGAGAGAGCAGGGCGTTAGTGAATACCCACGGTCTGTTTGAACAAGCAACATGGCATGGGAGCACTCGTGGACACCAAGGGAACCTTTCCCAACACACAGCACTGCTTTCTTGGAGACACCCAGGGTGCAGGGCTTGCTGTGAGGTTACTGCTATTTTTGGCAGACCTCAGAGGCAGATGGTGATTGCACCAAGAACTCTGCATCACTGTAAAAATTACAGAGAAGAGAATCCTAAAAAAGCTCGCACTCTGCCCAAAATCCTTCCCTCAGCTCCCTGCCTCCTATCAGGTCAAATTCAAACTCCTCAGCTCTGCAGAGTCTCAGCTGTGCCTAGATACCCTGCTCTGCACTGTTTTTCCCAGACCTGCGCTGTTATCTCCCCTTTCCTCCTTCTACTCTTCTCCCATGCTCATGCATGATAGAGAAGTGGGACACAGCCCAGGATCCTCACTGCTCTCCTCTTTAAACTCGCTGCTTTTGAAACATCATATCCAGTGCAGCTCCACAGCTCTAAGTCTTTGAAAACACCGGACTAGCACACTGCCACCTCTCTCTCTCTTTGGCCCCCTCTTGCACAGAAATCCTGACCAGGAGCAAGCCCTTAAATGCAGGAGGCTTAACAAAGGAAGCTGCACTCAGAGGTTTGCTTGAGACCTGGCTATAACTTAAGCTTCTCTTAAGACATCACAGATGAGTCATCAAGCAAGAACTTACTCCTAAGAGGTGGGACAAGTCTGGGCTAACACACCAATCCCTCAAACGGAGAGAGGGGAGAACCCGCCTGTTCCACCAGCTCCACACATACTGTAAACAAAAATTATCCGGCAAATTGAAGGCCTTGGCTCCAGAGCTCTTTCCAGTCCAGCAAGGTGGGAAGGCCCCAGGAACCAACCCACCCTGGGGCTATTAGAGGGCCAGGCAGCAGGACCATGTTCAGGCTGAGTTCAAACAGCACTGGTTATATCCAGTATTGATATAATGTATAGGCTAGGTAGGATGAAATAGTTACCAACTTCTCATCTAGCTTGTTGGGAGGGAGCAGTAATAATTTTTAAGCATCTCTGGTCTCCTTCAACCTCTGGGCTCTTCCTGGCTCACTCCTTTGTTGGAGCATTTGGCTGCTAGACTCCACATCTCATTGCCAAGTAATTTTCCTACAAACAGGCAGTGACTCTTCTGCTTTAAAACACAAATCAATTAATTTTCCATTACTTGCCCAAACTTGCTTTACCTCATGGCTGTTCCCAGACCAGACCTGGCTGCCACTGAAACATCATAAGCACTTACCAGTTTTCCCTGACCCCCAAGCCATACCTGAGAGCGCTTCCACTTGGCCATGTCAGAAACCATGTTTATCTCCTTTTTAGGGATCATGAAGCTCTGCTGGAGGGGAGGAGCCACCTCCTCAGAGGTGCCTGGGAGATGCAAAAAAGAGGTAAAATAGAAGCAGTGAAGAAGAAGAAATCCTCTATCTTCCTTTCTTAGAAATCAACATTCATTTCTCCGGAGACAGAAAGGAAACAAATCAATCCCAGCTTGCACTGTTATCTCACCAAGTCCTCCTCACCAAACAATATCCTCCAGATCCCCAGATAATATACTCCTAAGGACACTGCAAGGCTTCAGAACGTGGCATTACATTTGTTTTCACAACTAAAAATGCATTTTCCATCTGGACAGAGAGGCTGGTGCAGGAGATAACAAAGACAACATCCAGCTACTTTAATTATTTCTGTCTTGTGAAGACATGCTTTAGGTCATGCTGAAGCACTGAGCTCTCCTAACAAACTAACTGTGCCTTGTTTTTAGGGTGTTACACCTAACTGCATTCCTCTAAAAAGGACAACTCCTGCAAAGACAAAGCTGGAGCAATTCAATAGATGGCAGTCCAGAGCCACAGCCCCTGGTCCAGGCAGCACAGGGGCTTGGAGGATACTGGGACACAGCCTCTTCCAGGTGGAAGCTATGAAGATCTTTTAATTTTAAAGCTCCCTCAGAGCCCAGGATGTAATATTTAATGCAAATGCAAGTTGTTAACGCATTAGAGGGGCTCTTTTCCCCAGCATCTGAATGAAGGACCCAATCCTGTTGTAAGGGTGAGCCCTACCCCGCGCTCTCCAGAGTTCTGCTCTCAGCTGGCAGCCCCACAATAGGACACTGCAGAGCCAGAAACGCTCCATGAGGTTAGAGGTAATTTGCATTGTGCTCCTACAAGTGCAACTTTTAATAGCAAGAGGTAGTGCAGCACACCACTGCTAATGTGAATTTATGAATTCTGTTAGAGCCACCCAGTTCATCCTTTTAATTCTAGAAAATCTGAAGGTATTTGTTCAGTACCAGCTACCCTGGCAATGCTTCAGCGACTGCTCTCCACACTACAGCAAGCTCAGGCACTGGGTCCCTAACATACTTCACCAAACTCCACCTCCTTAAAATATCATTAGCTGCGTTTACATAGAAAATACTAGCCAGAAGTGTCGGCAGCCTTTTCTGCAGCAGACCTGTGCTGTCTAGCAGGCAGATCAGGGAAAAAGAAATCCAAAGTCCCAGGAACAACACAGAGTCTTCTACAGACTTGTCACATAACCTTAGAAAGTCATTTAACTTCTCTGCCTTTCAAGTTCCACATCTACAGAACAAATGCAGTCTCATCAACTGCCTAGGGTGTTACAGCATTTGGTTCATTCCAACACCTAAGTTACAGTAAAACTTCCAGGTACAAGGGCAAGAGGAACAACACACGAGGAATTTAAATGAAAGACACGTGTGCCTCTCTTCTGAGAATTCAGCACACAACTCACAACGGCTCATAGCATCATAATGATGGAGCTCTTATTTTAAAAGAGCTTATAACATGAAAACAATTAAAAACTCCAGAGCAGTGGTGTAAAAAGGCAAACACTGACTTGTCCATTAATACCGGTGATACATAAAAACCAGAGATGTGACCAGGGCAGTGTCTGGCACTGGGGGATCCAGATATTAGCCCAAACTGTCTCATCACAGAACTTGTTTCATGTCTTTGTATTTGTTTCTCAACCATCACTTCTTCTGACACACACTTTGTGCATTTCCTCTTGGGGAGGAGACCATAGATACTCAAGGAAAGAAACACACTGAGGGCTGCAGGGGTTACAATATTACAAAACGAACGCATACGCAAAAGTCCAAAACCAATAATGCGATGGAGACAGGAGCATGAGGGGTTAGTTTTATGATGAAAAGCAACTTGGACAAAGGAGACACTTTTAGTCTTACTCTCATGGTGTGGGGAGGGTGAATCAAACTCAGCCACGAGACGGACCTTCTACACCGGCAAACATCACCCATCTCAGCAACGGGAAACAGAGTCACAAAACACGGGCTACAGATGACAGGGAGCCCCAACTCCAGCTGCTCCAGCAGCCTAAATCCCGACCACCTTGCCCCTGGGATGCGCAGGACGGACACGCACACCCTCGTCAGCCCTCACAGGGCAGAGGTTCCCCCCCGCCTCGTCCCCGATCCCTGCCGTGGGGCACAGATCCCTCAGGGAGCACCAGCCCAGCCCTCTCCCTCTCGGGGGGATCGGGCCCTAACCGTACCGTCAGCTTACGGCCCAGCAGGCCTCAGCCCGGAGCGGGGCCGGGCGGCCGCCGGTGCCGGGTCTCCCCACCCCACCCCACCCCACCCGGCCGAGGGTCAGGGGGCTCCAGGGCCCCTTCGTAACCTCAGCAAAGCCTCTTCCCACCTCACCCCACCACAGGCCCCGGCGCTTGCTGCCGTCACCGCGCCGCAGCCTGGGGCCCGGCGCCCCCGGCCCAAGGACCCCCGTGCAGCATGAGGCCCACCACACACCCACCCCGTACACCCTGGGCCCGGCATCCCGGCCCCGAAGAACACCCCTCAAGGGCCCCGAGCGCAGCCCCCAGCCCAGAAAGCCCCGGAGCCGCCCCCGCCCCAGCCGCCCCTCACCTGCCCGCCGTTCGCTCTCTGCCATCTTCTCGGAGCCCGGCCACCGCCGCTGCCACCCCTCACCTCTCACCTCCGGACAACGCCGAAGCCGCCGGCGGCCATCTTTGAGCAGGGCACGCCGCCCAGGCCTGTCGCTCCCGGGGCTGTCAGTAGGAGGCGTGGCCCCTCCCGGCCACCGTCGTGGCCCACGCCGCCATGTTTGTGCGGGGCACGGCCTCCTCTACCCACACAGGACCGCGGGGCGGCCATATTTGTGCGGGGCGCTGTGGCGCCGCGAGGAGTGGGTGTGCGGGGAGGAGAGGGGAGAGGAGGTGCGCCTCGGCGAGCAGGAGGACTCTTCTCACCAACTCCCGGAGAAGGCAGCTGACAGAGGAGCCGCATCCCCGCTCGGACACCGGCAGCGGCGCTCCCTCCCCTCCCAGCGGGACCCTGCCCTTCCCCAAGATGGCGGCGCGGGCTTCGCCCCGCTCCAAGATGGCGGCGGGACGGCCCCGCCCCCTGGCGGCCGAGCGGGGCGG